CATCATTGGATGCTTTCCCATCATCGTAGGTGACATTTGTACTTGTGTCCACAAGGGTTCGTTGTACTTACGATATACCCATTGTTATTACCCACAAGTAGCTCGTGTTCATTTGCAGGGACTCGTTATATCCACTACGACCTCTTGGAAGTGTTCGTAGAAGAACCATTGTTGCCTACCTCATACCCACCTTTCACAAATCTCAGTTGTATTGATTATACTTGTTTGTAGGGGACTAAATCATCCACAATTGATTGACAGTGTTGCCATCTTCAATCAACAGGCATTGTTGCTAGTGTTGGAGGTTTCAATAATGCATTTAGGGGACATATACATTATGCAACCATTCGTTGTCCTTGTGAGCACGTTGCATTTAAACTCGTAGGAACTATTGCAGGAGTTTGTTGCATTCATCTTTCGCGTACATTAGGATTTCATCTCCGACTTGCAACTTGTTGTTATCTTGTACGACCGTGCATTTAGACTTTGATTTGTTCATTCCTCCAAAGCCCAGTCCTATGTATTCCATCGGACCTGAGTTCAAGGTTCAACTCATGCTTGAGTCTTGTATGTTGTTATGGGTTCAGCTCTTTACATCCCATTCAATCTCAAGCTCCTTGAGTCCCCCGTTGTTCTTGAAAGTTCAAGTTCTTTATTGTTCATGTCAAGTTTGGATCCAGCTTGAGTTCAGTTTGAGTTCCTTGTTCTCCACATCTTGTTCCAGTTTTGAGTTCAGAGTACAAGTTCAAGTGGTCTTGTTTAATTCATTTCATTTTCAAATTGAGTTTAAGTCTGAGTTCACTTGAGTCTGAGTTAGGTGCACAAGTTCACAAGTCCCTTGTATTCAATCCGGTTCGAGTTCAAAGTATATATTTAAGTGCTTGGTCTGAGTCTCTTGAAGTCCTTGCAAGTTCAACTGAATACTCAAATTGATTTGAATTTTGGTTCCAATTTGATTTCATTTTATTTAGGTTTGAGCTTTGATTAATCGTTTACATTTTGTTTGTATTCAAGTCCTCAAGCCCACTGTTCATCCTCATTTGAGTTCAGGTTCTTGCTCTTTTTGAGTTCAAATCAGGCCGGAGTACAGTCATATTTTCACCCAAAATTTCGGCAGCCTCCCGACGTTTTCCTTGTTTAGAGAAAAACTATGGAAAACTGGGCCTCCCGCCACGCTAGAGAAAAGCATGTACGGTAGGTGCCCTCGTACGAGAATACCGCGGCCATAAACCACGCCAGAGAAAGACGTGTATGGGTCTTCAGTACCTGTTACAAGAGAAAAGCAGTTGTTTCCCCGCAGGTACAGAGCCGCATACGGGTACTTAAGATTATCCTGGTCACGCTAAGAAAAGCGTGTACCAGGTTTACCTGCCTCACCGTAGGTGTCGCGCCGGGTTCCCTTATTACCACGCTAGAGAAAAATGTATATGGGCGGTTTGCTGGCTCGACACGAACACCAAGGATAGGATTTTGGAGCCGAGGGGTCGCTCACTTACCTCATCGTAGGTGTCGCACTGGGTTCCCTTCCCATCACGCTAAAGAAAAGCGTGTATGGGCGGTTAGCCGGCTCGACCCGTATGCTGAAGTAAGAGAAGGATTTGCGAACTTTTTTTCTTCTTTTTTATAATAATAATAATAATAATAATAATAATGAACTTAATTAAAACAAAATGCACAAAGGGGCTGCTCGGTGACGGGATTTGGCCGGAGAAGCATTTGAAAGGTAGAATCCAGTCAGCGAACTCCAGTTTCTGCGTCCGATCAAAAGGTTGTAATTTCCAATCCCACAGGAAGGGAAAGTCGTCGTCGGAGCACGGTCGAACGGCCAAGGAGAGGCCGGATAAGGAGCGCACGCAAGGGAGAGTTATTTTCACAGCCACAAGCTCCTGTTCTTGTTTCCGTCAAAACTTCCGACCCTACTGGAAGGGACGGCGTCGGAGGAGCGAAGTTGAGTAGCCAAGAGGGAGCCGGAGAAACTACGAGCTCCGGTTGTTGTTCCCGATCAAAATGTCGTGACTTCCGATCCACATGAAGGGAAATTCATCGAAGGAGCGAAGCCGAACATCGGTGATGGGGTCGGAGAAGCGCTCGGAAGGGAGAAAGTCGCTGAAGGTGCGAAGTCAAACAACCAGGAAGGAGCGGGGAAGCGACCTATGATCCCGTTGTTTCATCAGATCAAAATGTTGCAGCTTCCGATCCGACAGGAAAGTCATCAAAGGAGCGGAGTTGAGCAGCAACGAAGGTGCCGGAGAAGCCACATGAAAGGGAGGAAGTTACCCTCACAGCTTGCGGCTCCCGTTGTTGCTTCCGATCGAAGTGTCGTTACTTCCGCTCGGATGGGAAAGGAAAGTCGTCGAGAGGAGCGAAGTTGAGAAGCAATGAAGGTGCCGGAGGCAGCAACGTGCGAGGGAGAGAGGGTGAGCGGGAATGAGAGAGAGGCCTCTCCTCTTCGGCTCTTTAATGACGCGAGAGGGATCGTGCAGGCGACGTGCGACGACGCGACGTCGGCGTGCGAGCGACGTGCGATGCTAGAACAGGGGATGGGCGTTAGATTCGTAGCAGAGGTAAGGTTTAGGCATTTTTTTTGTGTTTCATTATAGTAGAGGTCAACATATTTGTTCACTTTTTGTAACACCCTAATATACCCTTTGCCAATAACATAAAGTGTCACATAAATGACATAACAATCATTAATTACTTTTAATTATTTCTCATCAATTGTATACTATATAAAATATTCATTTACAATCACATTTATATAAAAATGGAAGCGTCTAATTAATCCAAACTTCACACATAATGTTTACATAGTCACTAATAAAATTCAAAATAGTACAATACTGGACAATTTATATACCTCAGCTGTAGACTTACATACAATGCTAAACAATAGAATATAAAGTGAAATAACTTGAACCTATTCTGCTTCAATTTTTTCCTTTCATTTTCCTGTAACAACAGTTAGTATAAAAGCTAGTGAGCTATGATGCTCAATAAGTTATGCAAATTAAATACAAAATTATAATAAATAATCATATTAAAAATATAATTGAATAAACTTACTATTATTTGTAAAATAATATAAAATCATTTTTAGGATTAACCTTTAAATCCTTTGATGTATGTACAGAATATCAATATTAGTTTTCTAAAAATTTGGCTACACTTTCATAAAAATGTTAAATTGAGCCCAGGTTAATCTGACATTATCGCCAGTAAACTACATAGAGGTCATTTTTGACTCTTTAGGGGTCCCTTTTGTCCCACTTACAATTGTAAGTATTATATCATTTTATAGGCAATCTTTACTAATTTGATATTAAATAAGTTTAATATATTCATAGTTCATACTTGTATTATATAGTTACATACTTTCATAACAATATATCTATTATATTGTTTGCATGAAGAGAAGGTGTATGCCACATTTAAATAATTTTACTTATTTTCAAAATGTTACCAGCTAGAAAAATCTTTAAATGATCATATTATATTTTATTTTAAATATGAATCAATCGAATTTGCATGTGGTTGTTCATATATAAATACTTGGCTATGAACAAGCATTCATAACATCATTCTCTTTGTTTAACTATTTCCCTGAATTTCTATTAAATGTTAGTGTATGAGTCTACCAAAATTAACAGTATATACTTTTAAATTAAACATGCATTACTTACCTCTTTGATGATTTGTTTCCTAAAATTTTCTACCTCGCACTTTTCTCCGATTGTAAGTTACCTACAATTACCTCTCTAATTCTATGATTTCTACTGTTTTATAATTCAAATAAATTGCATAAAACAAATTTATACTAACATAACCATTTACCTCGTAACCTGCCTTCTACATATACCCGAACAATCCTAAAATACAATTGGATCATGATCTTTAGAAACTTTATTGAATTTAGGAATCTAAAAGATAACAAAAACATTATAATTTTTAACCTCCTTTCTTCTTCTAATATTCTTTTCTTCTACTCCTTTCCACTGCTTTTTACTCCGTAATGTTAATGCTCCCTCATTACACTTTCTAACTCACAACAATTATATTTAAGTACAGTCACTATTTTTCCCAATCTCCAACAGCCACTTCTACCTACATAGAATGCCAGATCCTTTCCTTGCACAGTGCCAAACTCATCTTCAAATCACTGTGCCGAAACGTTCTTCACAGCAAAGTTCCGATCTCCCTTCTCCAGCGCACTGCACTATGCCGTGAAATGCAATGCACTACTAATTCTTCCCATTTCTTCCTTTGGTTGATCCTTCTTGCACATATCCAATCCTTGCACAGTACCGATCCCTTTTCCCTGAATTGGGTTGAATTCCTCTACATAGCACTGTGTTGAAATCTTCTACTATGCACTATGCCGAACTCTTCAACAGTATCTCCAATGCCTGCTTGCGGGAAACTTCTGGCTTGCGTGAACTTGTTGGAAGAGAGGGCCCACTACAACATAACTACTCTTATAACTCCTCTAAAGTCAACAAATGCATCTAATCAGAAATAGGGAAGAATTATAATTAAATTAAACTTATTTGTTAATATAAATGTTAAGTTTTAATTAACAATAACAATTGCTAATATTAAATAATAGTTTTCTAAATAAAATTTTATTTTATTTACCTGAATTATGGATATTATAATTCTTCGCTCCTTATTAAAATTTCGTTCGCAAAATTCAATTTTTTATGCTTCTTCAAACAGGTGAGGAAACTTCCACTTCATATCTATCTCTTTTTCTCATGTATCTTACTTTATTGATCTGTGCTTTTATTTAATTTTCACAAAAAGGAATTATTCTGCTTCTCAATTTACGAATATCCCATTTCAATATCATTTCAGGTTACTCTACATATGTTGAATTATTTTGAAGTTAAATTAAACTTATTTGTTAATATAAATATTAATGTTTAATTAATAATAATAATTGCTAATATTAAATAATAGTTTTCTAAATAAAATTTTTAATTTATTTACCTAAAGTTTGGATATTATAATTCTTCCCTCATTAAAATTTCGTTCCCAAAATTCAAATTTTCATACTTCTTCAAACTGGTAAGGAAACTTCTGATTCATGTCTATCTTTTTTCTCATGTATCTTACTCTATTGACCTATGCTTCTATTTAATTTTCACAAAAGGAATTACTCTGCTTCTCAATTTATCGAACATCCCTTTTCAATATCATTTTAGGTTACTCTACATATGTCGAATTATTTTGAAGTTCAATTTCATTATGAAGAACTCTCTAATTTCATTTGTAACCCATTTTCTAAGCATTCACACGTGATAAACATTATGCACATCAAATATATCTGAAGGTAATGATAGCTTATAAGCAACTTGTCCCACTCTTTTAATGATCTCAAATAGGCTAATATAACTTGAGCTGAATTTTTCACCTTGACCAAATCTAGAAACACATTCCATTGGTCTAACCTTTAAGAGCACAAAATCTCCAACATCAAATTTTATCATTTTATGCTTGTGATTATAGTATTTCTGCTGACGGTACTGTGTTGCTTTTAATGTCTCTAACTGATTTGACCTTTTCAGTAGCTTGATATTACTAACCGCGGACCCAATAATTTCCTTTCATCAATTTAAAACTAACTCAACGGAGTTCTACATTTTCTACCATACAATACTTCATATGGTGCCATCTTGATAATTGATTGGTAGCTATTATTATAGGTAAACTCATTCAATGGTATGTGATCTTCTCATCTACCTCCAAAATCCAAAACACAATCTTTATAATTCTTTTAGCAAGGTTTTCAAAATTAGACTGGACCAGCTGGTTCTACCAGCTCAACCGTGAACAGGTTTGGCGGGCGGTCCGGTTAGTTGAAATAAACGGCTTAGGCTTTGAATCGGGGAAAAATCGATCAAGATCCAGTTGAATAGGGAAATTATAACACCCCACAATACTCCTTAATAGTATTGTAGAGTGTCACAAGAACAGCCATAAAATCATAACATATCATTTCAAATCTATATAAAAGATCATATAAACATCAATTAATACAACAAAGGAAGCATCTAATAGTTCCCAAATTTCCTTACATCAAAGACTTAATATAGAGCCACTAAGGAAGTCCAAAACCATTCAAACTATTAGAACATTAAAACGACTTACTAACCTCAAGAGTAGATTTCCAAATATAAAATAAACATTAATATAAAACTTAAATACTTGCATATCAAACTTCTTCCACATTTTCTTTTCCTTTTCCTGTAAAAACAATCAGTAAGAAAAGTACTGGTGAGTGGTGAGACTCAGCAAGTTAAGCAGAAATTAATTAATAACTAATATTAACAATTTAAAAAAAACATAACATGAATAATTACAATATTGAACTCATTAAATCATAACATATCATTTCAAATCTATATAAAAGATAATATAAACATCAATTAATACAACAAAGGAAGCATCTAATAGTTCCCAAATTTCATCACATCAAATACTTAATACAGAGCCATTAAGGAAGTCCAAAACCATTAAAACGACTTACTAACCTCAAGAGTAGATTTCCAAATATAAAATAAACATTAACATAAAACATAAATACTTGCATATCAAACATCTTCCACATTTTCTTTTCCTTTTCCTGTAAAAACAATCAGTAAGAAAAGTACTGGTGTGTGGTGAGACTCAGCAAGTTAAGCATAAATTAATTAACAACTAATATTAACAATTTAAAAAAAACATAACATGAATAATTACAATATTGAACTCATTACTGGAAACATTAAAAGGCATACTTAACATTATGCTTCAATTTTTTTGAAGTTCTGTTGAATGTAAATTTTCCTATGAAAAATTTGGCTATACTTTCTTTACTATATTCAATGGAGTTTATGTAAATCTGATATTATCGCCATTGAAATTCATAGACGATCATTTTGTCTCTTTGGGGTCCCTTTTGTCCCACCTGCCAAATAGGTATCATAATTCCTAGGGTTCCTTTTGCCCCACTTACCATGTAGTTCTTGTATGAAAACCCTTTTGTCTCAACTACATTGATAAAACATATATTATATATATAGCCAAATTTTTCTTTCAATAATTTAATATTCAACATGCTTTCATAATCACTTATCATAAATACCTTCATCATCATTCAAGATATATATATCTTGTATAAAATTAATATGCATCACTTTTTCAAGGAAATTGATATCCTTCCAAAACATTCTCAAATAGAAAAACATTTTGGTGAGCGTACAAAACATTGTCTTTAATCGATATGGTAGAATTTTATAAGTAGTAGTTCATACATAAAATCTTGGATAAAATATTCTAGAGCAACAATAAATTACTTAAAACACATAAGTTCCTTTCTTTCAATCAGTCACTAACAATCAATTATCAATCTACAAGTAGAATTTGACAATATTATTTTAAACATTAAATTTGCATTACTTACTTTCTTGAACGAGGAATTTCCTCCAATCCTCCACCTTGAAATCTTCTTTGATGGTAAGTCACTTCAAAGCTCTCTCTTGCATATGATCAAATTGATCTATGACACTATAAGATATAACCTCTGTAAGAACTTCCATTACCATAGGAAATCTACTTTAGACACATACCAGACGAGCTTACCTTGATTTTCTTTTCTTCAAGTTTTATTCTTCGTTCATTGTTCTCACTTCCTTCTCACTTAGAAATCAAACTACAATTTATTACAAAAGTCCATATTAATCACATCAAATCCTTGATTATAATGTTCATAAATTCCTAAATTACTAATAGGATAATATTTGTTACCGGATTCTGAAATGATGAATTTCTTATACTCCTTCAGCCCGCAGTTGCTATTTCCAAACCCAACTTCTGCTTCCTACTCCAACCAGTTCCGCCTCTTGCTTCAGCCAGAGTCTATTGCCTCTTGCTTCAGCCAGCTTATTCCGCCTCTTGCTTCAGCCAACCTGTTCCGCCTCTTCCTGAAGGAAAGCTGCGGATTTCCTATACAGGAATAGCGAAATCCTCTACAGTCTCGGGTGAGAGTGTAGAACCGAATTTTGCTACAGGGGAGATATTAAATCCTTATCCCATTCAATAATCCCGCACTAAATGATAAGATGGAGTGGACCCCACTCAACAACTGCTATTCTCTTTATCCTCACCAATAAACACATATATTCAGAAAAATTAATATTTGCATTAATATTCAGTTGATTTTATTTAATAGTACATAAGCTTTATTTAAATAAGGGTTTGAATTTCTTTTACCAGAATTTGAGTTGTTACAATTCTTCCATCCTTAATAGAATTTCATCCCCGAAATTCAACTTTTCATACATCATCAAATAGGTGAGGAAATTTGTGTCTCACTACAGCCTCTTTTTCCCAAGTAGCATTTTTAACTGAGTTGTGCTTCTATTTTATCTTAACAAAAGGAATAATTTTGCTACTCAATTTCCGAATATCCCTTTCTAATATCCTTTCAGGTTCTTCTATAAAGGTCATATTCTTCTGAAGTTCAATGTCCTTATGAGAAACTCTTTGACTTTCATTTGTAACCCACTTTCTGAGCATTGAGACATGAAAAACATTGTGGATATCAGACATGTCTATAGGTAATGCTAGCTTGTAAACTACTGTTCATACTCTTTCAATAATTTCAAATGGCCAAATGAATCTAGGATTGAGTTTTCCACTTTGGCCAAATCTAGAAACACACTTCATTGGTCTAACTTTCAAAAATACAAAATCTCCCACTTCAAATTCTTCCATTCTATGCTTGGAATAATAATATTTATGTTGGCGGTTTTGAGTTGCTTTTAATCTGTCTCTAATGAGTCTGACCTTCTCTATCGCCTGGTCTACCAACTGTGGACCTAATATTTGCCTTTTCCCCACTTCAAACCAGCTTAAAGGAGTTCTGCATTTTCTGCCATATAAAGCTTCATAGGGAGCCATCTTGATACTGGATTGGTAGCTATTATTATAAGTGAATTCTATTAATAAAATGTGATCCTCCAAGCTACCTCCAAAATGTAGGATACACAATCTTAACAAATCTTCCAACACTTGAATCAACCTTTCTGATTAACCATCTGTCTGAGGATGAAATGCAGTGTTGAATTTCAATTTTGTGCCAAAACTTGCATGTGTGCTTTTTCATAACTTAGATGTGAAACGACCATCTCCATCTGATACAATAACCTTAGGGATTCCATGTAATATAATGATTTCTTTCACAAATAATTTGGCCAATTTCTCCATTGAATTAGTCTGATGGATAGGTAGAAAATGGGCTGACTTAGTGAGTTTGTCAATTACCACCCATATACTATTATGTCCTTGTTTTGATCTGGAAAATCCTGTAACAAAATTTATGACTATTTCTTCCCACTTCTATTATGAAATCGGTAAGGATTGCAACATTCCACTGGGTTTTTGATGTTCAACTTTAACAACTTGACACCTTTCACATTTAGCCACATAATCTGCCACATCACTTTTCATTCATGGCCACCAAAACAAAGTCTTTAAATCCTTATACATCTTTGTGCTTCCAGGGTGAATGGAGTAACTAGTATCATCGATTAAAAAGGCGTTCGAGGCGGACGCCTCGAAGCGGTACATGCTCGGCACTGTTAATTACTTTATTTTTATCATTTTTTAGGCTTACGCCTCGATCCGCCTCGAGGCTTACGCCTCGCCTCGCTTAGCCAAAACGCATCGATTCCCGATTTCGCCTTTTAAAACGTTGACTAGTATTATGTGCTTCAAACAATATTTATTGAATTAAATCTGATGCTTTTGGTATCCACAACCGCATATTGTACATGATTCTTCCTTGTTCATCAACACTGAGTTCCTTCTTTAATCTTTCTTGCACTTGATGCATAAACTTCTGATAGCCATTGCTTTTCTTTTGAGCTTCCATAATTCTTTCCTCTAATGACAAATAAACTGTCATTTGATTAATGCTAAGTGTATCATGATCTCTTTGTATTTTGATAAAAAAAATCTCTTTGTATTTTGATTTCTAATTGTAATGCCTCCATTTCTTTAATCAATCTTTCTTCACTAGTCAACATATTCAATTGTGATTGGGTCTTTCTGTTCAATGCATCAGCTACCACATTAGCCTTGTTTGGACAGTACTGGATGTCAAGATCATAATCATTTATTTGTTCCAACCATCTTCTTTGTCATAGATTCAATTCCTTTTGAGTGAAAATATATTTCAAGCTCTTATGATATGTAAAAATTTCACATTTAATTCCATACAAATAGTGTCTCCAAATTTTTAAAACAAATACCATTGCAGCTAACTCTAAATCATGAGTGAGATAGTTCTTTTCATGTGGCTTAAGCTATCTGGAAGCATATGAAATAACTTTTTTGTTCTGCATCAACACATAACCCAATCCTTTTAAAGAAGCATCACGATATAGCTGAAATCCCTCAGTTCTAGAAGGAATTGTCAGTACTGGTGCAGTTGTCAAACATTGCTTCAATTCATGAAAACTCTACTAACAATCATCAATCCACTCAAACTTAATATCATTCATAGTTAACTTGGATAAAGGCAAAGCAATATGAGAAAAACCTTTAACGAATCTTCTATAGTAAACTGCCAATCTCAAGAAACTTCTGACTTCTGCCGCATTTGTTGGTCTTGGCCATTCCACAACTGCTTTAATCTTTTTTGGGTCTACAGATATTCCTTCTCCACTGACAATATGTCTTAGAAATGAAATTTCTTTCAACCAAAACTCACACTTAGAAAATTTGACAAACAATTTATGTTGTAGCAGTAATTCAAGTACAACCTTTAAATGCTCCGCATGATCCTTATCATTCATAGAATAGATCAATATGTCATCAATAAATACATTAATAAATTGATCCAGATAAGGTCTGAAAATTCTTTTCATCATATCCATGAATATTGCCGGGGCATTGGTTAACCTAAAAGGCATAACCAAAAATTCATAGTGTCCATATATGGTTCCAAAAGCTGTCTTTTTCCCATCACATTCTTTCACCCTAACTTGGTGATGACCTGATCTCAAATCAAATCTGGATAAAACAGAAGCACCTGCCAACTGATCAAATAGGTCATTAATCCGGGGAAGAGGATACTTGTTTTTAACTGTCACCTTGTTTAATTCTCTATAATCAATGCAGTCTCATTGAACCATTTTTCTTTTTAACAAAAAATACAGGTGCACTCCAAGGAGATGAAGTAGGTTTGATAAAACCCTTTTCAATCAATTCAGCTAACTGACTTTTCAGTTCTTGTAATTCCTTAGTTGCCATTTTATAAGATGCTTTTATAATTGGATTCGTACTAGGCTACAAAGTTATTGAAAATTCCACTTCTCTTTCTAGAGGCAAATCCTTCCATTCTTCTGAGAAAACATCTACAAATTCATTCACTACAAGAATGGAATGTAAATTATCACTCTTTTCTATTGTCACTTCCAACATTGCTTAGAAAACCAAGTCACCCATTCTAAGTTTTTTAAGCACTTGGCTAGAAGTAATTAAGGAAGAAACTACTCCTCTTTCACATTGAAAATAAAATACTTATTCTCCAGGCAAATCGAATCTGACCTTCTTCCAACATTCAATAGTGGCATAATGTTTGACTAACCAATCCATTCCTAGAATTATATCGAATTCTACCAATGGGAGTATTATCAAATCTGCTTGAAATTTTCTACCAGCTATCATAAAATAAACTGAATATATTGTACTGGCCTTTAAATAATTACCCGCAGGTAATATAAAATGTAATCCAAGAGTAAAAGAGACAAGTCCTAAATGCACTTTCTTACAAAATATCTCAGCTATGAAGGAATGCAATGCACCAGAATCAAAAAGTACTCTAGCAGGAAAGTCTGAGATTTTTAAAGTACCTATCACCACCTCCGAAGATCCTTAGCCTTCTGGGAAGATAAAGCAAAAACTCTAGCTGGTACTGATCTGACAGCTTCACTTGAGGTTTCTCCTTTTATCTTCAAAGCAGGTTGATGCATCTGTGGCATGGCACCTCTGAACTGATCCAACCTCTGACTGCCTCTAACTTCTGTGTCTCTTTGAACATTCTTTGGACAATTCCTCTTGATATAACCTGATTCTCCACACAAATAACACTTTCCTGAATTCATCAAACATTTTCCTGGATGAGCTTTCCCACAGGTTGTACAAACTGGTAGTATAGGTAATCTTATAAACTGTTGTGGTTGATTCTGATTGAACTTCTGCTTTTTGGATGATCCACCTCTGTGATCAATGTCTTTTTCTACCATCATTCTCCCATTTCTGTTTCACCACTTCTATATCATTCTCTAGTAATATGACACTTTCCACTAATTCAACAAAATCTTTTATACGAAGGGGAATTAATGGCTGTCTCAATGAGTCTCTCAATCCTTTTAAAAATCTGTAACACTTTTTCTCAGAAGTACTGATAAGCTGAGGAGCATACCTTGACAGAGCTGTGAATTCTGCTTCATACTGAATGACAGTTTTTGCTCATTACTTTAGATTTAAAAAATTCTCCTGCATTGCTTGTCTTGCTGATGGAGGAACATACCAATCCCGAAAAACTTGCTTGAATTCCTCTCACAGAATTTGCTCCTCAGATTTACCTTTGAATTTCTCTAGCTTTTGTCCCCTCCACCACCTTTCAGCTTCACCCTCTAGCATAAAGATTGTCAGAGATACATGTCTATTTTCAAGACATCTCATTCTATTTAAAACTTTCTCTATTCTAATGATCTAGTCTTCAGCACTTCTAGCGTCAACTCCTCCCTTAAATAATGGAGGTTTTAAACTCTGGAAAAGTTTTAGATGTTTATCCACTTCAGCACTAACAGGATCACCTGTCTCCACATTTATACTACTACCAGGAGTGGTAGGAGTGACTGGTGTAACTACGGGTGGGATACCAGGTGTTGTAGATCCCACCATAGACCACATCTTTTCCATCATTTGCATCATCATAGTCATCATTTGCAGTTGCATCATATTCCCTAACATTACATTCATAGCATCCATTTCTACAGATGCAGGATCTACATTGGGTGCACTACCTCTTACTGGTGTAACATTTTCAGGATCCTCAGAGATCCTGATAGGCTGAGATGATTGACCTTCACCTCCTTCAGGTATTCTTTCCATCATTATATCTGTAATGCATGACAATAAGAGTTATGCATTTAAGTCATCCATAAAAACACTTATACTTAAATACATTTAAAATAGATGTTACTTATATATTTTTATATAAGTAAATTGCAATTTGACTTGATACCTAATTTAGATATACTAAGTTCTCCTAGGCTCTGTAATAATTCCATCAAATTCATTCTTATTCTCTTAGACAATTCCTTTACTTATGCTTCTATACTTAATTCCTCAGAACCTTAAGTTTTTGATCTGACATCACTTTTGTAACACCCCACAGTACTCCTTAACAGTATTGTAGAGTGTCACAAGAACAACCATAAATCATAACATTTCATTTCAGATCTATATAAAAGATCATATAAACATCAATTAATACAACAAAGGAAGCATCTAATAGTTTCCAAATTTCATCACATCAAAGACTTAATATAGAGCCACTAAGGAAGTCCAAAACCATTCAAAGTATTACAACATTAAAACGACATACTAACCTCAAGATTAGATTTCCAAATATAAAATAAACATTAACATAAAACTTAAATACTTGCATATCAAATTTCTTTCACATTTCCTTTCACTTTTCTTGTAAAAACAGTCAGTAAGAAAAGTAATGGTGAGTGGTGAGACTTAGCAAGTTAAGCATAAATTAATTAACAACTAATATTAAAAATTTAAAAAAAACATAACATGAATAATTACAATATTGTTTTCATTACTGGAAACATTAAAAGCCATAACATTATGCTTCAATGCTTTTGAAGTTCTGTTGAATGTAAATTTTTCTATGAAAGATTTGGCTATATTTTCTTCACTATATTCAATGAAGTCCAGGTAAACCTGACATTATCGCCATTGAAATTCATAGATGACCCTTTTGCTTTTTTGGGGTCCCTTTTGCCTCACCTGCCAAACATGTATCATAATTTCTAGGGTCCCTTTTGCCCCACTTAATATGTAGTTCTTGTATGAGAACCATTTTGTCTCAACTATATTGATTAAACATATATCATATATATAACTAAATTTTTCTTTCAATAATTTAGTATTCAACATGCTTTCATAATCCCTTATCATAAATACCTTCATCATCATTCAAGATATATATATATATATATATATATATATTGTATAAAATTAATATGCATCTCTTTTTGAAGGAAATTGACATCCTTCCAAAACATTCTCAAATAAAAAAACTTTTAGATGAGCATACAAAACATTGTCTTGAACCCATATGATTGAATTTTATAAGTAGTAGTTCATACTTAAAATCTTGGATAAAATATTCTAAAGCAACAATAAATTACTTGAAACACATAAGTTCATTTCTTTCAATCAGTCACTAACAATCAATTATCAATCTACAAGTAGAA